CCCCGGTACCAAAAAAAAAAGCAGTGGCAAAGTTTATTTGAAAAAATAAAAGTGAAGAGAGAAACTGGCTCTGCTAAGTGAGCTTAGGCTGAGTAAAAGAGGAAGAAGCAAGATAAAAGTATGCCCTGGAGAAAGCAGGGTGGGCTATGGTGAGGAAAGCCATGATACCAAGTTCTTCTTGGTGTCTGTGTCCTTTTATAATGTGCAAATCTGGAGGAAACCGGAGAGAGCTTGTACACCTGGGTCCTGAGAGGCAGTGCTGGGATCCCACGCCTCAGGCTGACATCAGGTTTAGGCCTCCTATTGAAAACCTGCTCATGAGAAGTCCATGTGCAGGGCTTTAGGAACTGTTCTGTGTACATGTTCTGAGATCTTGTAATGAACAAGTCATGCCTACTTCCCCAGCCAGCTTTGCCACACCCTAATATCCTATGTCATTAGTACTATAAATATGCCCATATTTCAGTGTCAGTCACTCGGACAGAGTGGAATCTGGCCCCTAGGTCATTTGCCTTCAGAGCCCAGGGGCTGTTCCACTACTCCATTTTTGCATCACTCCTTGAACTGAGTCTGCTCGCCACAACCCTGGCTGTGGCCACTGGAGAAATGAGGGAAGCAGCACTGCCTATGGCATGGGTGGAAGCATATGAGCCTTCCCTCACTTCACTTCTAGACTGCTGCTTCTGCCATCTGCTTCTTTTCACACATGGCTACTACTGTGTCTGTGGTTTATCTTTATGGGAAAAGGTTTTTGGCCTCATGGAATGGTGGCTCTCCCAAGATCCATAACATGGCACCTGGCAGAGGCATTTGGGTTAAGTGGGTTGTTCAGACCCAAAGTACTTTGGGATGGCCCCACTTAGTGTGCCTTAGAAAATTGTTTTGTACCACACAGGGTCCATCACCTGGGGACAGTCAGGGAAGCTCAGCTCTCATAGTCTACAGTTTCACTGATTAGGGAACTCCTTTGCCCCTTTAAGAGTGTGAATACCAATGTCTTAGGACCTGATCAGCAGTCCCAAAGCCCCCTTCATCACTTCAGTTTCTCTGAGGGGCCTCATACATATCACACATTCAATGGCTTTCTCTCCCTCTCTGCCCTGGAATCCTGCTACACTTACAAGGGTAATTATTTGATAGTGGAATAAGCTAAGCTGTTTGGAACCAGTTGATAATTGATTAGAAATAAATATAAAAGTTTTGAAATGGGTAAATAACTTTCATCAGTTAAAAAAATAAGAATGAATTTACAAAAAGAAATTATATAACTTTTCAGAAATATGTATCTTCGGCAAAGTGCTAGTTAAGAACGTGAGCCTTGGAATCAGAGACCTGTGGGTTCAGACTATTTGGCTATGGGCCTTTGGGCCAGTGATTTAACTTCCCTGACCTGAAATGTCCCCATGTATGGAATGGAAATGATAATGGCCACCTAAGATTGTATGATAAAGATTAAATGAGATAATTTGTGGAAAGTAGTTAGCACAGTGCCTTCCAAATAGTAACACTCTCATCTTAGCTATTATAGATATTGCAGTCAAATGACACTAGCCATTCTAAGAGTAATTTGTGATCTTCAAAATCCATTTAGCTTCCAGAGGATTTTGACATTGAAATAGCATTGCTGAAGTATCCTGTGAGATATGAAGAGAGCATGAATACTGTGTTAGTACAAGAAATGGAACGATTTAACAAGTAAGTATCTATATCCCCAGTGATTCAAAAGGCAACAAAGTTAATACAAAGATACACTATTATTAAATTTAAAATTTTAAGAAAAGGTTATCAAAACCTATTTAAATTTTTCTTTTTAATAACCATTTGCCCCAGAAGATAGTAACTTTTGTCATGTAAAACTGATGATGAAAAAGAGATCTGTTCTTACTGATTGAAAATATTCATTAGTCATAACTTTTCATCCATTTATGATTATCCTCAGGAAGAAAAAGACAGAGTATGCATTAACTCCTGTGGTCATTTTTTTTTATCTTTTGTCTTTTTTTTTTCTGATACACATCCTTACTAAGTCCAATCTAGGTTAACAAGGTACCCTGTGATAATAAATTATTTGCTGTGAATTTTTTTTTAAATTTTATTATAGCACCCTAGCCAGTGTGAACTAGTATCTCATTGTTTTTTGTTTGTTTGTTTGTTTGTTTATTGGTACTGGGAATCAAACTTGGGACCTTGCACTTACAAGGCAGGTGACGGAACCACTGAGCTAAATCCCCTGCCCTTTGGTTTGAATTTTTAAGTGAATTCTACAGTTAAATATGGAATTAAGGAATGTAGAATTGTTTTGGTTGTGAATTTTCTGTAGTATTTCTAAGTTACTTTTGATTTCCAGACTTCTTGACATTTTAAAGTAAAATGTATTGAAACATCACATTTCCCTAATCAACTCAGTGTTTCTCTTTGTGTGTGTATGTTTGTAGTGCTCAGGATTGAACTCTGAGCTTTGTACATGTTAGATAGGCACTCTACCACTGAGCTACACCTAGCCCTAATATACTATTTCTTATACAAAGACTACAATTGTTTATGTATAATGATATGCTGTCTCTAAGCTGCTCAAGCTTCTATCCTCATAGGTGTTTTGTTTTTTTTTTTGGTACTGGGGATTGAACTTGGGTCCTTGCGCTTGCAGGGCAGGCAGGGGCAGGCAGGGGCAGGCAGGGGCACCACTGAGCTAAATCCCCCACCCTCCTCATAGGTGTATTTATGATGTTCTTAGCAGTTTTGGCCTAAGTGGGAAGCAATATATTTGCAAGTATATAAATGAATATCCAATTTTTATGCTTTAATGCAATGTTTTTCTAGTTTGTCATTGTATTACAACTTTTTAAACTTTTTTCATATTTGCATGTCACCTATAATACTATTTATTTAATATATTTCCTTATATGATTTTCTACTTAAATTAGCTGGGGCTTCTCAGAGTAGTCTATAGATTCAATATAATCCCTATCAAAATTCCAATGTCATTTCTCTTTTTTTTTTTTTGGAACCGGGGATCGAACTCGGATCCTTCCGCTTGCAAGGCAGGCGGTGGAACCACTGAGCTAAATCCCTGGCCCCAGTGTCATTTCCCTTACCCAAAAATTCATATGGAATCATAAAATAACCTCAAATAGCCAAAGCAATCATGAGCAAAAAAAACAAAGCTGGAAGTATCACTACCTGATTTCACACTGTATTACAAAGCAAGCAATTACAATTGAAAAAGTATAGTACTGGCATAAAAATAGACATACCCACCAATGGGACAAAATAGCCCAGAAAAGACCCCAAGTATATATGTATGGTCAATTGACCTTTGACAAAGGTACCAATAATATACAATGGAAGAATGACAGTCTCTTCAATAAATGATGTTGGGAAGACTAAGTATGTGAAAGAATGAAATTATTAGACACTTATATCACTTATAAAAATCAACTCAAAATAGTTTACAGTCAATCATAAAACCTGAAATTATAAAACTACTAGAAGGAAATATAGGGGGGAAAGTACATGACTTTGGCCTGGGCAATACTTTTTTTAGATTTGACCCCTAGATTGCATGCAGCAAAAGCAAAGATAGACAAATGGCATTACCTAAAATTTTTTTTTTAATTTTCTGTATATCAAAGGAAACAGTAGAGTGAGGAGACAAATTAAAGATTAGGAAAAAATATTTACAAGTCATCTGTCTTAGAAGGGATTAATATCCATAATATATAAGGAATTAAAATAGTTCTATAGAATGAAAGCAAATAATCTGATTAAGAAATGGATGGTAAGCTTAATAGACATTCCTCAAAAGAAGATATTGAACAGGTATATGCAAAAATGCTCAACATCATTAAGCATCAGGGAGACACATATCAAAATCCCAGTGGGGTCAGGGATTTAGCTCAGTGGCACACTCCTGCCTCGCAAGCGCAAGGTCCTGAGTTCGATCCCCAGTACCAAAAACCCCCCAAAAAACAAAAAACCCAAAATCCCAGTGAGGTATTCCCCCACTCCAATTAGAGTGGCTTTTTTTAGTATTGGGGATCGAACTCAGGTCCTTGCGCATGCGCAGCAGGCAGCGAAACCACTGCGCTAAATCCCCGGCCCTAGAGTGGCTATTTTTAAAAAGACAGGTTCTGAACCCTTGTACAAAGAGAAAAGGGAACGCTTGTACACTGTTGGTGGTAATGTAAATTAATGCAACCATTATGGAAAACAGAACTCCAAAAATTAAAATAGAAATATCATATGATCCAGCAATCCCACTTCTAAGTGTTTATTGAAGATTTGAAATAAATATATCCAAAAAAGCACTCTTGTGTTCACTGCAGCATTATCTACAATAGCCAAGTTATGAATTAGCCTAAATGCCCATCAAGCAATGAATGAATTTTTGAGAATGTGGTACATATACCCAATGCAATACTATTTAGTCTTTAGAAAAGAAAAAAAAAATCTGTCATTTGTGACAATGTGGATAGAACTGGAGAACACTATACTAAGTGAAATAAGCCAGACACAAAAAGACAAATAGTGCACGTTCTCATTTATAGTATGTAGAATCTAAAACAATTGAACTTACAGAAGCATAGACTAGAATGGTAGTTACCAGAGGCTGAGCAGTGGAAGGGGAATGAGGAGATGATAGTGAAAGGGCACAAAGCCTCAGTTAGATGAAAGGAATAAGTTTGATTTTTTTTTTTAGATCAGTAGCACAGCATGCTGAATATAAGTAATAACTGAATATAATATATTTCAGTATTACTGAGAGTAAGTTTCTAATACTTTTATCCCAGAAAATGTTAAATATTTGAGGTGACATTAATTAGCTTAAAATAACCTTCTTACTTGTACTGTATTCAAAAATCATAATACTACTTTGTACCCCATAAACATTTACAACTATAATTTGTCAATGTACAATAAAAATTGTTTTTAAAGGGCTGAGGATTTAGCTCAGTGGTTCCGCCGCCTGCCTTGCAAGCGCAAGGATTTGAGTTCGATCCCCGGTACAAAAAAAAAAAATTGTTTTTAAAAATTAGCTGGGGCTGCAACTGCAAGGACCCAAGTTCGATCCCCGGTACCAAAAAAAAAAAAATTAGCTGGATCCTAAGAAATAACCAGAGACAAAAGTTTAGATATGCCAGTTTTATCACTTTTTATATTTAAAAATATATGCATAGTGATTAAAATGAAAGATGTTCATTCACATATCACCTAAAATTACCTCACTTATCACCAAATGGGAAACAGTTAACAGTGAAGAGACAACTTAAAGATTAGGAGAAAATATTTGCAAGTCATCTATCTTATAAGGTATTAATATCCAAAATATATAAGGAATT